CCGATACGTCGTTGATCAGAAGGGCTGAATCATCTATAATTATCAGAGGGACATTTTCCCTTGGCGGCACTCATATAATGTCCGAAGAATTCTACTAGTACTATAGGACTGTGGATGATGAGTATAGATTGGATCGGCTTCATCATTTGATGTGGTCATTTTTAACTTATCATGTTCTTTAAATTTGGTTATTGCATCTTTTACATAATTAGATTTTATTTCATGAGGGTTTTTTTCAAAATTTTCGATCCAATCATTAATTATTATAAAAATTTCTGCGCCATTTAATCGTTGAGATGGATCAGGATTCCAGCACAATTTCATCAGATTTTCATAATTAAGTGGAGTATTTTCAATAATTTTTGGACGTTCACCAGAGCAAATTCTAAAAATAAGCTGTGCATTATGAGATATATTATAGAACGGCATGACCCCAGATGTCATTTCCCACATTAACTATAAATATCAGACGCTTTTGAGTAAGGTTTCCCCTGTAAGACCTCAGGTGCAGTATAAGGTACAATGCCATAAACTTCGTTAGATTGATTTACTGGACCGCACAACCCTAAATCACTTATCCACGAGAATCCTTCATAGTTTAAAATCAGTACATTGCCACTATGTAAATCTTTATGAATTAGATCAGATTTATGTATTCCCCAAAGCCCTGATATAATGTATCTCAGATATTTCAACTTAATTATCCAGTCTTGTTTAAATATTTTATTTAAATTTTGCCTCAAACTTCCAAGTGGAGCATAATACATCACTATTACGTAATTAGAGGTTTCGGGATCTTGAGTAATCCCGTGTAACGGAAGTAATGTTCCGTTTTGATGACATTTTAAATGTTTTTTTAACTGAAATTATTAATTTTTATTTATTCATAACCAAAACAAAGAAAATTATATGAAATTTAGAACTCAATTAACATCGTCAAAAAAATCTTCATTAACATTTGACGAATTATTCAAACTTTTGAGAGCTACCGAAAACGTCTTTGCATCAGAATTCTCATCTATATCTGTAATAGTTTCATAATTATAGTTGGTAAACCTTTTAAGCTCTTTCAATTTTTGGGGATTCCTGTGCAGATAGCTGGTTTCTCCACAAAACCAAATTGCTTTATATATAGAACTAAATCCACCATTAACAATAAAGGTGATATTTTCTAACTCATTAAATGGTATCCACTCTAAAAATTCGTCTTTACGTGTTGCATTAATTTGAGATTCTTGTATAAACGTGTCAATATATAACTTTCCACTTGTCCATTTTGGAAAATTTTGACGAAACTTCTCAGCATTACATGATTTGCACCAATTTTCATTAGTATTTGGTTGCTTGCAATCTTCACAAATCCCAAATTCAAAACTCTGATTTAATAAGTAATCCATTCTCAATATATTTAAAAGCACTAGGAAAATATAAAAATTAAGCCAAATAATATTCGTAAAAAACTGAGAACGACTTACGTACGTTTAAACGGTACAAATTAAATGTTGCACTCAGATCACAGTGCCAAATTTGGATAAACTTAATTTTGCTTCCTGTTCATATTCGTATCTATATTATGATTGGTTGTTCCTGATTCTCTAGTTAATTATATATGTTAATAAAGTATAAAAGACAATCGATTATACTATCATTACTTCAGTTACTGTATGTGGCAGAAATAATAGTTTACATTTTATAGTCATATGTCCTGTGCAGCTAAAGAAAAATGATAATAACTTATGATTCTGGGATCAAGCGAATTTTTTCTGCCTTATATGTATTATTCCCTACTCATAAAATGATCCGTACTGGATTTTTTTTACCAATAGTCAGAACTTAGATTCCTTCGCTATGTTTTTGAAATTATACTAGCGCAATTAAAATTACTCATAATACAGTAGTTTAAAATTTTAATCATTAGCTATATCTTCGTGAGCATAATACAATAATTTAAATTGTGATATATTTAAATAGCAAAGTTATATGAGTTTATAACTAAAACCCATAAGCAAAGGAATTCAAACAATATTGCAAATATAATCATCAATTGCTATCTTGATCTATAAAAAACAAGATAAAGAATCAAAACCAATAGAATAGAATACATATCTCGAATATTACTTTAGGAAATTCTCTACCTTAAGATTTCTCTACTTTAATAAGACAATTGCAACTACAACTGCAATTGCGATAGTTGCTTCTACACTTAATCCTGCTGCGCCAATCGATTGCAATATAGCTACAATGCTACCTTTGGCAGTAGCACCACCACCGAATAACGACATCATTCGCGCTGCAAAGGATCCAGCCGCGATGCCATCCGTGCCAAATCCTATCGCTTGCACCAAACTAACAATTACATCTGGAACAATTACAGCACCGAAAATTGGTAGGATTATGTTTAACATTTTTTTTTTTTAGGATTAAATTCAAAAGTTGTAGCACTTTTTTCCAATAGAGAAAATCTTTACGAATGAACGTTGATTTATAAGGTGGTTGCATTACGGAAAAATCAATGATGTTATTTATAGTAGCCATACATTAATGACATACATACGTATCTGAC